GCTGCATGGTGGCGCTCAGCTTCGGGGCGCTGTCGCTGAGCAGCTCTCCGCAGGTGAAGAACTCCTGTCCGTTCTGGGCCGGCTCCTCGGTGAGTACCTGGCGCGCGCGCCCCGGGGCCGGGGAACCCCCTCCCACGCTGTTCCTCGGCTCGTCCGCAGGCCCCTTTAAAGTTATCGGAGCGTAGAGAGTGGAGAAACACGCTCAGAGACAGTCAAGTTCAAGCGGGAATTGGGTTGCACCTGCACAGTGTGTGTTCTTCGCAAGCTAAAGGAGTTTATTTTCCCTGTCAGACTAATACTGTAAAACAAACATATCCAGATATCCAGCTCTTTGAGAGACGGGAAGGATGGTGGAGACGGCTTGAAAGGGGAGGAAAATAATTAAAAACTTTTTTTGACTCTTGAGTACTTCTTGCCCTGACAGAGTCAGTTCTGGTAGGGAGGGCAGGGGTTTTGATCTATTTTGTCCCCTGACCCAGCAACAGTGCCTGACACATGGGGCGTATTTGTAGGGTGGATGAAGGGACAGATTGACTGGGGCCCGTTGTTTGACTTTATTCCACATTAAAATACACATAAATGTGAAATGTAACTGGCGTCGGAGGGCTGGACTGTATCTGGGCCAGAGTTCAGAGGCAATGAGAGGGTGTGTGTAAGTGCCTGCCTTCTTGTACCTCATTAAAGGAGCCCCCTACCCCCACCCCCAGTGAGCTCCCGGGGCCCTGCAGGCTGCTGTGCAGAATTTGAGTCTCTAGAAACAGAACCTGTCATTATGGATGAGCTTGGTAGAGCTCCAGCGACTGCTGGGCAGCTACCCAGAGCCTGATCCAGGACCCTGTCCAGTCGGGAAGGCTGACCCTGGAGGTCGCTGCCAGTGAGCAAGCATCTGTGGACGGCTGCTCACTTCTGCCTCCTAACAGTTTCACAACTTCCAAGGCATCCAACCCCTCGAGGTCACCGGGGGTCGACAGACTCAGAAGCAGGGCTTTGAGAAATGGTTGTGGAAGACAAGCGAAGTAAATGCTGTTTTTATGAACTAAAGAAATCTAAAGGTCTGGCATTGCCTGTGGTTTTCCCTAAGATCTTCATGGAGTGTATGTCTGGTAGAAACTGCTTTTGCAGGTCCACCTAGATCCTGGTTCAAGACCAAATTTTGAGCCTGTAGGAAGAATAATTGATCCTGTTGTGATTGTTTGAATAAGAACATTAGGTTGCTCAGGCTTAAAGTGGAATTTTATTCTGAAACCAGCGCCCGTTGCGCCTCTTTTGAAGTACTTTCTTATTGGATAATCCTATTGAGGTTCTTCCTGTGCTGTGGTGAAGTTCGCAGTATGTGCATCATGCAGACAAAATCCCAGTGGGATGGCCCTAGCCTGGACTCTGCCACGTCCTCTTAGTTCTGGGAAAACCCCCAAAGGGCAGGTATCCCAGACAGGCCAGGAATTACATCCATTATGCTGTCTCCTCCTTTTGTCTGGCTGCATTCTGCCAAATGGTGGCTGCATTTCACTTTCTCTAAACACCACGGGCCAGTGTCTCACATACATGTTTTACGATTTGCTCTTTGTAAAATCATAATCTATCTTGTTCTCAAAGATAGCTACTTTAGGATTATTAAAAACAAAATTTCTTTTCTAAAATTAAACTCTGAAATCATTTTACTGTTGTGAATGATTTCAGAGGTAAATAAATGCACTTAGATGTCAGTTAAGCCAGAATGGGATTTGATGAGATATAAAACAAAGGCTGTCAACCAGAAGGTGAAAGCTAATACCCTGAGCTCCCTGGCTGGGTGTAGCCTTGTCCCCAGGCTTGAGCAAACCAGAGCAGAGGAGGAATCAGAGATTTGGAATGGAGAATTTTATTTATTTTTTTTATGTATCGCTCCCACTCTGACCACCCATACCTGTGTACAAGCAGACGACTGTAGGTTACTCTTTTCTGTGACCTGTTCCTGAGGTTAACCTCAGAATTTGCCAAGTGACACTTGGTGTGGTAGCACAGGCCTATAATCCTAGCCTTGGGGAGTTGGAGGCAGGAGGATCACCATGAGTTTGAGCCCAGCCTGAGCTGCATGGGCTACATCATAGTGAGTTGTTCAAGGCCAGCCTGAACTATATAGTAAGACCCTGTCTCCAAAAAAAAAAGGGCCAGGAATTTAGCTCAGTGGTTCCACCACCCACCTTGCAAACTCAAGGTCCTGAGTTAAATTCCCGGTACCAAAAAAAAAAAAAAAAAGAGAGAGAGAAAAGAAAAGAAGTTTTGCCAAGTGACCACAGAGCCAATGGATGCTATATTTTTAGAACAATTAAATATAATTTTAAGAGTTAAGCATCATGATTCTCTTGATGAACTTAATAGGTGAGAAGGTTTTAAGAAACACTGTATTGTGGAAAAAATTAGATTTACACCAACATTTTCCAGAGAACCCGCAGAAACCCTTTACTCCAAGTTGACCATGGTTTTTTTTGGTACCAGGGATTGAACTCGGGTCCTTGTGTTTGGGAGACAGGCAGCAGAACCACTGAGCTAAATCCCCCGTCCGACCATGGTTTTATCCATACCCTCATCCTAGGCTCTCCTAGCCTTGTGTGCTCTGACAGATACCAGAAGCGTAGGTGTATTCCAAGTGAAGTAGGGATGTGATCCTCCATGCTCCCTGGTTCATTTGCCACATTGAATTATCTTATTATTATGAAGCAAGTCTCAGGCATCACATTCTTTTATGTGTAAATGTTTCAATGTGTGTAATTTTTTTTTAAAGAAAATATATCCAGCATAGAGAGATAGTATGGAAGTGACCAGGACATCTTTAAAAACCTCCTTCCACTTTACATTTCATTGTAAACACTTTTAAATCTCACCAGATACAGAAAGGAGCATGTAATGACTCCCCCTCCTACCCACCACCACCTTCAGTAGCTATCAAGATCTGGTCACTTTGCACTAGGGCGCCACTCCCCCTTCTAACACCCACACTGTATTATTTTAAGGCAAATTCCAGATAGCGTAACTTAAGCCATTAAGTATTTCGGCGTGTATTTCTAAAAGAAGGGGCTTAATAGCGCATTGCAACTAATTTAGAAATAGCTTAACCATGTTTTTTTATGGAAGAAAAGCTGAAAAGTTGTGATTTGTAGACTGCAGAAATTCAAAAACACCTGTATAATTTATGCATATGGTTTTTAGGAAATGTTGAGTTGCACAATCATCACTGTAGTCAATTTTGAAAAAAAATGTCATCACCCTAATAGAGTTATTAGCATTCTTCTTTCCCTGACCCACACTGCTGTCCAGGAACCACTGATTAACTGGCTTTCTGTTCCTGTGGGTTTGTCTTTAAATGGGATTGTGTAAAATGTGGACTTCTGTGATTGACCTCTTTCTCTTAACATGTTTTCAAGGTTCATCCAGGTTGAGGCATTGATCAGAACTTTATTACTTTTAATTGTAGAGTGATATTCCATTTTGGGGCATACCATATTCCCTGTCTCCTCTGGCCCCAGGCCTCTGACAAGCGCTGTAAAAGCTACACCCAAGCCCCACTGAGAAGTTTTATTGACATATGAAACTAAGGTGTGGAGGGAAAGTGCCAGCTGAAGTCTAAGGTTACTTCAAGCCCAGTAGGCACACACTAGAAGAATATCCTGGTATTTCAATCTTTGAGTGACCATCATGTATATTATAGCCTGCTGAATCAGCTAGCTCATAAGTCTTTTGGTTTGAGTAAAAATACTGATTATGTTTGTGATACAAAATTAAGTGCAAGGGACAAATATAGTCATTTGAAAATACTATTTTGTATTTTTCCAAGTATTCTCTTAAAAGAATTCTCACACTGAACATCAAACTTTTGAGGTTTCTTTCACTTGTCTGAACCCTGAAGGGTATGTTCTCTATTTAAAAACACAGGTAAGGATTAACAAGTCTTGGAGTCTTTCCCATCCATACCATGCATTCATATTTTCAGCAAATTGAAGGGAGTGTTTTAAATGTACTTTCTGTGTTTTGAACCCCCTGTGATCATGTATTTTCTTCCTGGTGTGTTTGGTTAATGACTCAATATGGTATTATTCCCAATATTCATGATGCTAAGAGAACTTTAATCAATCTGAAGTTGGTGAGTAGCCAGGGAGGATCTCAGTGTTGACTCGGATCTTAACTGGGAGAGTCATTTGTTTAGTACAAATGATTCCTCAGATTATGGGAGACCCAGCCTACCACATTGAGCTGAGTTTAAAGAGTGGAGGGAGTTGTACTAGTCTGTCTCTCCTACTTCAGAAAAATAAAATTTCTGATTTTGTTAACATGTGTGGGAAAACATTCTGGCAGGTGGCAGAGAAGTAGTGGTTGTTTTTTGTTCTTCTCAGAATATCCTTTATCATCTGCATACATTTTTTTCTCCCTGCTTTAAATTAGTGATCTGGATTCTGATCACTGCTCTCCTGAGTCCATGATTTTTTGGTATAATTGTATTTTCTTATAAAGAGACAGATATTCATGAACCTTAAGGTAAACTTTTAAAAAATTGCAAATACCAAGCATAAACAAGAATGAATGACCCAAGGAAAAAACTGAGGAAAAATGTTGAAATCTCTACCAGTTAAACAGTAGTAAATCAATCAATCTATTTTTTTTGCATCATACTCATCAAATACTATTTTAGTATTTAAGGGACATAAGAAATACATTTTTTGATAATGAATTTATTGATCCCCCCATCCTGTATTTTACATTTCTGAAGAGTCACATTTACAAATTTTATGCCTTGAGAAAGACATTGCATTCCTAGGCCTCAGTTACCTATCTGTCTAGATTGAGTGGGAGAAGTCTTGCCTCAAGATTGATTTGGGGAAGATATAAGTAGAGAAACACCAGCACCAGGCCAGGACATACTGGGACTGTTTTTGTGTTTTTTAAACACAAGGCAACATGGAATCAGAGTAAAAAAAATAGGCCATTTGTTTGTTTTGCAGGGCATTGTGGTTACTGTCATGTGTACATTAGAAATAGCCAGTTGCCCACTTGCTCATTTTTTTAAGTGAATCATGTTAGACAGGGATGAAGCAGTCTCACCCCCACCCCCAGACTTTTCACAATTTTGCCAGTGTAAAAGTTGTTAGGCAAGATAAATTGTTGAGAGATTTGATAAATCTTTGGGGTTTATGTACAAGGTAAACAGGGAACATTTACAATGTAATAATAATAATAAAAAAAACCCTACCAAACCCCTCCATTTACATGTAGTGGCTTTTGACAAATGATGCAGAACATTTTTGCCCTAGGGCATGTTAGTGGATTAGCAAAGGAAAGTAGGGCAATAGAATTATAAGCTTTTGATCTTAATAACTTGATTTTAAGATGTAAAATTAAGACACAGTAGCCATACGTGGTGGGTAGCACTGACTCTTGCCTAGAGCTTCTCAGAGGCCACCTTTGCATAGTCAGAAAAAAGGTCCCTTGTTTTTTTTATAAGCTACAAAGAGTGGGTACAAGTATGTCAAATAAAAATTTAAATAAATCTCATTAAATAATATAGAGATAGTTTGGTGTTGGAAATAGGTTCTTGCCTCTTTACTCAGGGCAAGTTGCATCTTGTGCTGGGTGGGACAAATGCTGCTGGAGTTGCTTTTTGCTGCTGGTGTGCTTTTGTGGGAAGCACGGGGTGAACGTTTGGTTAGGCTTGCTCAGTCGTCTTTGAACAAGCTCACCTCCTAGTTCTGGTCTCCATTCATTCTTTCATTCACGACTCTTGGCCATCACCAAGTGCTTCCTCGGAGCTGTTCGGGGCCCTTGACTGAGGACTCACAGATCCAAGCCCTCATGAGATGAGGGCGCACTGGTGTGAAGCCATAATGGGAGCCATTAGAGGCCACTTCTAAGGGCCCTTCTTGACTTTCTTTTGGTGGAGCTGCAGCTACTACTGCCACCGGGCCAGGTAAAGGTACTGAAGACGCTGCTTTTCCCTTGTGCTCTCTCCCCATGGATGAATCCATCCCTCCTTTCGAAGAAGTGTGGCTGCCCATTCCTTAAGTCTTGAGTTCTTCATTCTAACTGGCAGCACCTCTGTTCCTGCCACCATTGCAGAGGCTCCTCATCTCTAGCCGTTGTTCCCATCGCCCCACTAACTGCTCACAGGGATCCCCCAGTGCTGTCGGGATTCAGTGAGCTTGAAAAGAGGGAGGAGGCAGGTGGAAGTCACTGTGCTGTGCCTCTGTTGCAGCCTTCAGAATGGAGAAAGATGTCACTGCTGGAACTGGATGTGGACCTTAGAAAGAAGGGCAGTGGACACAGATCCTGATAGGATTCAGCTCGAGTGTGTGAAAGTAGAGCCTATGATTCATTTTAAGTGGAAATGATGTCTTTGAATAGTTTGTCTTCCAACCCATGAACCTGGTGTATGTCTTGACTCCTTTGGACCTTTGTAAAATTGCTCTATAAGCTTTGTATTTTCCCCTATTAAGAACATAAGTTGTTATATATATATATATTTTGGAATCATTGATACCTTTTATCTGTCATTCATTTTATTATCTTTTAGATTTTATTTTTTACTGAGGATTGAACCTAAGGCCTTTGCACTGAGCCACATCCCCAGCCCTTTTGTGTAGTTTTATATTTTGAGACATGGTCTCCCAAAGTTGCTAAACTGCCCGTGCTGCTTAATTCATGTGATCCTCCTGCCTCAGCCTCCCACTCATACACCACCATGCCCAGAAATTTTGTATATATGTTTTTAAATGCCACCCCAAAGGGAGAAATAAACATAGCATAGGTCTTTTGTCTCAGAAACCCTTCACTTGAAATAAAAGTACTGTCTGTTGTGATCTATTAAAATAAAAAGGAAACCCTTTCAACCTAGCAACCCTAGGTTTATCTAACAGAAGCAACAGAAACAAAGTTCTTTTTTCCTAAAGATAAATATTCATAAATGTTTACTGTACCACTGTTTATGAGTGCAAAACACTGGAAATAGAATGAGTGCCTGGGAGTGTAGAAATGATGGAACACGTTCGGTCTGCCCTTAAACCAGGAACTGGGAATCTTTAAACCGAGATGAATTATAGCTATTCCAGTGGACTTTAAGAGATTTCCAGGAAGAATTTATTGAGAAAAAGAAGAGAAAGGGAAAGTGTATCTTTTATAATCCTGTCTTTTGTTTGTTTGTTTTGTTTTTGTAAAACACATACTCCTGTACATAAATTGTGACCATGGAGTAGGTAGAAGGATGTCGCTGAGGGGAGAGCGGAAAGTACAGCTTAGAAACATTACTATTCTATGAACTTCTATGGGTTAAGCTGTTAAGCTGAACACTTCACCTTAATTATGTTGTTCTAATGGAAAAAACTAATATTCCAAAAAGCCAAAGTGATAAACATCAAGAGATAAGTCAAAATGTAGCTATTTTTTGTTTGTTTGTTTTGTTTTTACTGGAATGAGCAGTCTGTGTTTTCCTCAAGGGCAGGCCAGCTTTATGTCATGTTTTCCCAAACACAGCTTGCATTTCTGCAGCTAAGTCTAGTAGGCAGCAGGGTGGGCAGACAGGCAGCTTACACACGTGGACACACAGACACAGGCACACGTGGACACTTGCTAGCACACCAAATCTTGGGGTTTCCAAAGACGTACTATCATCAAAGCAGGTGTTAACCTTTGAGTAGAAGAAACAGTGTAGTCTCCACACTTAACCCATTTCTCAGGTAGCCAGAGTGAGGGCCTGAAAAGAGAACCGACTTGGTGGAGGGGGACTCCCTGACTCTGGAAGCTGAGTCAGAGCCTGCGGCCCTGATGTCATGGATTTTCTTTCTGGTGCGTAAAGTAGTCACAGCCGCACACCCAGGATGCACCACATGTGCCCAGTGTCTCCAGGCAGACATTGGCACGGGGAGGCAATTTCCTGTTGGTCTTAAGGGGCCTGCAAGGATATAGTGCCCGGTTAGCATACCACTAGTAGTACATGTAAACACAGATGGGACACAAAGAAATTGTCACTGCTCTGTACTTGCTTTTCGATCCTTGTCCTCTGTTGGTTTGGTGCTGTGGAATGATTCACTCTCGGCTGGGGAGAACAGAGGGTATTGCAAGCTGGCCCGTGTGCTTTGAACTTGAAGTGACACTGCAGAATTCATACTGACTTACAGCTAATAAACAGTAATTGTGAACTGATGCATTAGAAGGATTTTTGGCAGGTAAAACATACACAGGAAAAAAAAACTCTCTTAACTGCATTCAGCAGATGCACTTTATCACACCAAGGTAAATGTTCCCAAGGTGGCACGAGGGTCCGTCTGGGCTGAGCAGTTACTTGGATTATTTTCCCCAATGGCTTAGGGAACTATGTTATCCAGAAGGCTGACTTTGGTTTCCATTTTATGTCTTGGCAACATGTTGGTTCTTCTTTACTGAACTTTTAACTTGTTGTTTATTTAAGTGTCATTTTGCAATGTATTTTTGTACTGTAGTTCCTTCTCATTTGCAGAATAAATGCTTAGGCACATTGATCATTTGTCAGTCTTGTGGTAGGCACTATACTTGCAGCTTAGGGATTCAGAGACAAGAAAAGACCTTATTATAGACAATATAGAGATGTGTCCTCAAATTATTACAATAGAGAATCTTAAAATATAGGTACAGAGGGCTTCCTAGGGTATGGGATGGTAGGAACAGTGAAGGCTTCTCAGACCAAGTTACTATTAATTGAGACCTTGTAGGGATGAATGGATGGGCGTTCTCAAGTAGCTAGGAGGGTCATTGGGAGGAGAGGCCACTGTGGCAAAGAGGAAGAGGCACATAGCCCAGGAAAGCCTAGAGCCTGGCTAGACTGTGAAGGGATAGGTGTGTTCAGAAGGAAGGCATGTGGTGGAAGAGAGTAGTACAAGAAAACCAGGCCCGGGACATGGGCAGGCCAAAGTTCCCAAGGGTCTTGTCTACCGTTTAGATGAGTTTTCTTGTCTTCCAAAGGTACCCACCAAATGGAGGGAGGGATATAGCCAGACATGCAACTAACCGCAGCTATGTCAGCTGGCTGAATGAGTTATACTAGAAGCAAGGAGATTGATCAGAAGTACTGATTGCTTTTCTGACCAGAAGGACAGGCTCATTTCTGTTAATGTGTTCTTAATTGACATTAAAAAATATGCAAGTTGATAAAAAAGCTTTGTGGGCTTGAAAATGAAGGATAGTCCAAAGAGGTCTATCATGGTTCACCAGCAGTATTATTAAATTATCGATTTAGAATGCTTTGAAATTTCAGTGTTTTAAAAATTACTACTTTTGATCCTGAGAATTAATTTATTGGAATTGGTCTGTTTTCTAAACTGTTGATACTTTTTTGTCCTTATAGGTGATACTCTCTGGAATTATAGGTTTAACAACTTGGAAAAGGCCTATGATACTGCTGGTATGTACTGATATTATAACTTATAAAATGTGCTATCTGTAAAGTCTTTCTTCAGATAACCATTGAAGAAATATTTGGGCTTTCTTGTTCACTATTAGCAATGTACAGTAGTAGAAGTCATATATTTTAAACAATAAAATAAGATAATAGTTTTGTTGGTCTGATGTACTTAAAGCTTATGACACTCTCAAAGCTATACTTGTATTTCTAGTTCAAGAATTAGATTCACGCTAAAAAATGTTTTATTTACTATGGGTAGTTTTAAACAGACCCCAAAGTGGAAGGAACAATATAATGAACTCTCTGTACTCATCAACAGCTTCAAAAATTCTCAACTTACAGCTCATCTTGTTTTGCTTAACCATTTCCGCCACCTCCACATTGTCTTTTTTTCTCTTTATTGTTTGGAAGCAAATCTCACATATGAATCACAAATATGTGACTTTTTGTTGTTGGAATGTTTTAGTTGGGCAATCTCAGAATTTTGCTTAGGCTCACTGTATTGTATCTTTGTCATGTAAATATTGTATCTTTCAAATAATGTAGAGATATATTGTGACTCTGTCCTTTGTTTTCATTGAGCTAAATTCATATCACAAAAACTATTTTAAAATGTACAGTTCAGTGGCAATGAGTACAGTAATTTGAGTATAGTATTTTGCTATCCTATTTTTCAGAGTATACTGTAAAAAATAGAAAATGGCCAATGGAATTTATTCAACTTTCTAGGAAATTCATTTTGAATTGAAGGACACCTAAACTTTTTCTGTGTAAAATTTCTTTTTATTTTCCTCTCATTCTTCCTGAAACGAGGTTACATTATTTCTTAATGTCATTTTGATTGTGTGTGTGTGTGTGTGTGTGTGTGTGTGTGTGTGTGTTCGTGTTCATATTAAACAGACCGCAGTGTCCTAGGCTATGGGAAATAAAAACAAAAACACTTAAATACAAGGAGAAGAATCAGCTTGTAGATTTAAAAAAGAATCCAAATTGTGGCTCTCAATCCTGGATTTACGGTCTTGAAGCACTTGATGCACTTTTTAGCTCACAAAGTGATATAGGCAACACTGCACAATTCCATCAGTTGTTGCATTTAGTGCAACTCCTTTAACATGTTTGGAAGGTGTAAGTTATCAGGATAACATTTGAAGATGTTAGACAGCAGGATAGGAGAAAATGAGGGCTTGGGTAAGCTTTATAGTCTGTTTTATACTTTTATAGCAGGCTTGTTTTGTCACAACTGTCTAAGATTATACTTTCTGCAGAAAAATTTTGGATCATGTTTAATATTTGATCATAAGAATTACTTTTTCCTGTTGAGTCAGTATTAAAATGCTCGAGTATTTAAGTTAAGATAAAATTTCTGATGATGTTTGTACTCTTAAAATTCCTGCTGATGAGGAGAATATAAATATGTGTTCTGGATAGACTTTTAAGACATTTATTTATTTATTTATTTATTTTATTTGGGCCTGGGATTGAATTTGGGACCTTGTGCTTGCCAGACAGGCAACAGCACCACTGAGCTAAATCCCCGGCCCAAGACATTTATTTCTTCAATGTTATTTTCTTTTTTGAAAGTGCCATATGTATTTATTGTGTGGACTTAAGCAACTTTAAGGAAAAATGACCCAAGTAAAATATATCTTTCTTATTTTCTTCTCATTTTTGTTGAAAAGAATATGTACTTTATCATAAAATTATAATCAGTGTGTACATACTATGTTGTTTGATTTTTCTGTTTAATATTAAATTAGTTACTATTAGCTTATGTTTTGTTTCAGTGTATGAGTCTATATGCTTATCATTTTAAATTTCAGAGCAGCCTTCCATCATATTTCTATATCTTCATCAGTTTTTATCGAGTTGTTGAGTATTTGAACTTTTATATTTTTGACTGCTATGAGCTATGTACTGTCAAAGCTATCTAGAGATTGTTCTAAATAAGCTTTCTTTTTTTTTTTTTTTTTTTGGTACTGGGAATCGAACTCAGGTCCTTCATCTTGTGAGGCAGATGGGCAGGTGGGAAGAACCACTGAGCTAAATCCCTGGCCTAGAGATTGTTTTAAAATATTAGTGCCATTTTATAAAGAAGATAAATTAAGTTTTAGGAACTGTAATAGAGAATTTTCTGAGTCTATCAGTAGGTCATGTGAGCCTTAGTGTCAGTGTCATTCATCAGAAATGCTCAGTTCTCATGAGTCTTTGTACCGTCATATGCTATGAAAGTAGAAGGGAAGTTATCCTTAGATAGGAGAAAGGGAAAAGTGGGTATGAGAAGACTAATAGAGGATGGGTATGATCAAAATACGTTACATGCAAAAATGAAAATTAAATTAGTATGGCAGATAAAAATAGCATGCCATCGTAGCAAATGATGCTTTTGTTATGATAAAAATGAAAAGAATGTGTGCTAAAATGAAAGAAACTGGATGTATCAGGTAGTCCCAGTTCATCCCTCTAAGAGCTGTATAACTCCGTGCAAACCATTTACCGTTCTGAGCCTAGCTTTCTCTTCTGCACAGAGGGGATGATTTGGTGGTATCAGGGGTGGCTCTAGCACACCCACTCCTAGTGATATTTCCTTCCTCCCTTCTCTCCCTCCCTCCCATGACCCCGCTCCCTTGGCTTCCTGAATTTAGAGAATGTATCAGTGGCTGATTGCTGTTGGGAGACCACAGTCAATTGGAGAAGCCAGATTGGCCTGATGGGTCTTGCAGACCTGGGCTTAGTTCTGGACTTTCCCCTTTACCGTGTCCTGTGCAGTGTGCATAGGATACCTCTGGCCTAGGACTTCGCTCCTCTAGCTGGTTGCGTGGCTCCTCTTTTTCTGGTTCTCACTTCATCAGTGTACCCCAAGAGAGACCATCACTGCTACCCTGATCGTAGTGGTTCCTGGTCCCAAGAACCAAACTTTGGACTCCAGCCCTGCATTTATTGGCTTCACCATCTTCATGCCTGTGTACTGTTACTCCTTACTTCTTGTGAAATCTGCGCAGGAGATAGTTCATTCTGTGAGGACAGGGTTCTTGTCTTTTTCATACTCTTTCTCTAGGGCCAGAATACTTGATATACATTTGTTATTGATTGTGAAATTAATTTGGCAGCTAATAATAAGAAGAAGAAATTTAGATCCTGGGTGAACCCTGATAGTTTTTCTTTTAGTTTTGTGTTCTGTTTTTCTCACTTGCTTTTCTTCTCCCAAACTTTGTATTCCTGCCTCTTAACTTCAGGGTCCTTAGGGAGCGCTTTGGAGGTGGAGTTGGGAAGTGCCAGCTTTGGTTCCACGTCAGAGGCACACTGTGCTCAGCACGAGCTGTTGGGTACACACCAGTCTGGAACACCTAAACATTCATTTGGAGAAAGCTCCTCCTTGCTCCTTTTTCTGCCATTGTTACTGTGATTACATCAGGAGTTTTACTGGTTTGAACAAAGGCAGGGTCAGTGTGACCTAGTTCTTTCAATCTCAAGTTTTCGCAGAAACTCAGAGTTGGAAGCTTCAATCCCTGAATTTTCTTTCTTATACAGATACTTATCTGTTCAGAGCAAAAGTAGTCCTGTTGGAAAATGGTTTATAAATACTTAAGAGTTATGAGTAGGGTTAAGCCAGGGACTGTGTGCATATATGTATGAGTGCATCATTTTAGCTTGTGTGTTTTCCATACAGAGTAACATTTGCTATTTTTGAAGAATGCTTTTGTTTTGTCCAGGTATCATTCCCTTTTCCATCTAACCTAATGTTTTACGAGTATTTAGAAATCAAAGTTTTGGTACTGGAAATGGCCTCACTGATTTTACCTAAGCACCTCAGTGAAAGAATAGAATTGTCTTTCTAAGGTGTTTTTCTTTCATGGTACATTTAGTAGGAAGCAGCACTGTGGAAGTCCACACAGTTCTCTCTCTGTGATTTGAGCTATCATTATTTATTATTTCTTGTTTAGAACAGTGGGAATGAATACAGCCTGCAAACTGGTGAAAGGACAGCTCTGTTCTTCAGCATTAAGAATGAAGGAGCTGAGCCAGGTGTGGTGTGCACGCCTGTAATCCCAGCACTCGGGAGGCTGAGGCAGGAGGATCATTGTGAGTTCGAGACCAGCCTGGACTATATAGTGAGTTCCAGGTCATCTCAACTACATAATGAGACCATGTTTCAAAAAAAAAAAAAAAGAATGAAGGAGCTGAGCCAGGTGTGGTGTGCACGCCTGTAATCCCAGCACTCGGGAGGCTGAGGCAGGAGGATCATTGTGAGTTCGAGACCAGCCTGGACTATATAGTGAGTTCCAGGTCATCTCAACTACATAATGAGACCATGTTTCAAAAAAAAAAAAAAAAGAATGAAGGAGCTGGATGTGGTGGTGCACATCTGTAATTCCAGCACTTGGGAGACCAAGGCAGAAGGATCACAAGTTGAAGCCCAGCCTGGGTGTCTTACCAACTCGGGGAGACTCTGTCTCAAAAAATAAGAAAGGCACTTCCGATGTAGTTCAGTGTGAAGGCCCTGGTTTCAGCTTCTCATCTGAAAAAATAAAATGAAGGTTCTTTTCCTGTGATGTTTCTTGGGTCATTTGTGGTTTATTCTCGTGAGGACCAAGGATAGACCAAGACCATCCCAGACCAAGGACAGAAGAGGTAAATGCATTGGCTATTTAAAAAAAATCATTCATTTCTAACTTCTGGTTGGGAATATTTAGGCTAAATCCTCATTACCCAAAGAAAGTAAAATTTACCTGAGGTACACACACCCCTTTATTAGTCCAGTCAGCTAGGGTGGCAAGATAATTCTCCACAAAGCTATTTGGAGAGCCTTGTGTTCTCACTTTAATTGTATCTTGGAGGGAGAGTTGTGGAACACCAGAAGACGTTTTCAAAGAGACTAAGGAGTTGCCCTCACTAGTGGGTCAGAAATACTTACAGCTTACTTATCGTGCAGAATAGACAGTGGTACTTTCTTTCCTGATGAGACAAAGAACCGAAGGGCTGAGATATCCCGTGTGCAGTTG